CGGTACCATTTGATCCGCGGACCAGGGGTTGGGGAACACTGATTTAAAGGGCTTCTGTGAATTTGGCTCATCATTTGAAGACCTTAAATGCCTTTTAAAATTTGTGAATTGTCTGGATCTCTTCTGTCATGTATGCTTCTCCCTGCTTGTCAGTGTTTTATCTGAGTATATATGCTCTGCTAAGTGTTCATACCCGGCATCATTCTGTGCTGGGACTAAGTAACTCTGAGCATGTGCGGGAGTTACATCATCCTGGCCCAGCCAACCAAGATGATGGAAGACTCCAAACCCAAAATAAGACCAGGTGACGATGAAAGCGAGGAGAACAATGGCTCTCGCATTGTTGGAGAAGGTCATTCACAAAGTATGTCTGCAATATTGTGCCAATATGCTTATGTTCAGCATACTTGCACATTATGGCAAAAGCTTCCGGGGGCCCGAATATTGCTAAGCGGTTTAGTTGCGGGTTAAATATGTTTATTTTAGTCATGTGACTGTAATTTTCAAATCTCATTGTACTCAAATGAAACCATAGGGGTTTACAGTGTGAATCCCATGATCCCCTTGGATTGAGTATTGTGACCATTGCAGCCCCTTGTTTGCTCAACTTATTCCACTTGTTTTACATTGTTACAAATATTGCATGTGCCCATCAAACATATACAATATAATAAAAGTAAAGAAAATATTCAATAGACATTCTCTTATTCCTTACATCACTTACATTTGTAGGTCCTATTTTGAAGACCAGTGGAGGACATACCTTACAGAAAGGGGCATTTCGGATGGAACATCTCAGCCAACATTCCCAGAGAAGTACGATGTAAAAGAACGAGATACATTTTATACTTCACACAGCTTTAGCGGATGGGCTGGAAGCGCTGGTCACGATGCCCCCATGATTGCTTACGATGCCATTCTTGGTTCTGGAGACAACTGGACAGAACTTGCTGATCGGGCTTTTTTTCATGGCGGTGATAGTGATTCCACAGCTGCCATTGCTGGTGCCTGGTGGGGAGTCATGTATGGTTTCAAGGGGGTCCCCAAGGCCAACTACAAGAATTTGGAATACAGAGATAGATTAGAAAAGCTTGGAAGAGATCTCTACCACCTCACACAGAAGCGGGAACAGCAAATTCAAATTCAGGGTACAGGGCAAAAGGATTGAACGTGACTGCTTCTTTCCTATGCCGACAAGCTTAAAATAGGAATCAAATCTTTTTATGTTGCAGTATTCAACCTAGTAATGATTGGATTATAAAGGCAGTGTATGTTTCACTAATATTTCTGATCATTTTCAAGATTTTGATATATTTCTGTGCTTACAATATTGGTGTTTATGCCTTTTTATTCAATATTCCTTTTGCTTAAAGAACAAAGAAGGACCTGCACCGGCACTGCAAACGTTAATGCTCATTTTCGCCTAGGGACCAAAAGAGAAAAGTTATATTCACCCGACCCTCCGAGCCAGCTTGTTAGACCGGTCCTTCCAGCTTCTTTTCCCCTCCATTGCCGTAGTACATTCTATATACAATGTATAGGACGGGAGGACGCTAAGGAACATACCAACCCTTCAGCATAGGAGAAGACTGGCTGGAGAGAGCGCTGTCATGGCCGGCTCTAAGGCTCGGGTGAGTATAACTGTTTTTTATTTGAGTCCCAAGATGAAAACGAGCAGTTAACCCTTGCAGTGTTGGGGAAGCCTCACTGCAAGAGTTCATTTTTTCCCTCAGAGTTGTTCTTTAATCCTGCGCAAGTATACGCACAATATCAAAAATAACATTTTATATCTTAAAAAATTACTAGCGCTTATATGTTGGGAATGAAGCTGCTCCTTATTCCAGCTGTTTAACCTTATGGCAATTTTGCTTATTTAGCGTGTCTATTGTTCACGTGTCTATTTCCATTCAACAGGGTGCATGAGTTTTACTGCATAAAAATATATTTCTGGTAGGAATCCAATCATTCCTATATGGCTATTTCTATGTACTGCAGCCTAGTGCGTTTTTAAAATATGGAACATACTACATTTGCACAAATTAAAGGAGAGCTATGAGGTGAGTGAAAATCACTCAGCCTCATAGTTCGAGCCGACATGTGACAATTAAACTGTCACACGTCGGCTCAATAGATCGCTCCTACCCCTGCAGAGAGCTGTGATTGCCACTCATGGCTCCCTGCAGGGATCCCCCCCCCCCCCCCCCCTCCCCGCTCCTATCCTCCAGCATTGGCTGGCGGAACGGACGGAGAAGGGGCGGGTACAGCTGGCTCTGCCTGTAGATAAGCCAGCTGTCAATCACGCAGCTGGGTGGATCTCGACAGTAATGTCGGGATCCGTCCTGGCTGTGGTTTCATACGGAGCTTTGGGTCACAGGAGGGCTAGTTTGTGTTCTCCCGTGACCCTGAGGAGAACTATGGGGAAAAATACTTACCCCATAGTTCTCCTTTAAGTAGGTCAATGGAAATGAATGGTAAATGCATTGCACCAATCTGCCATGGATGCATGTATGTATCGTGCAGATTGGTACATTTCTAACAAATACCTGGGTTTCTATTGCATTTTGCATAATTTTACATAATGCAGAGCAAAATAAAGAGACCCCGTTCCTTCCAAACCATCTACAGTATACTCACCTTTCCAATGCTTACTCCTGTTTCTGTCACAGCCAGTTACAATGCATAGCGCTTCCAGGCATGGGAAAGTATGTGATCTCCTCCCATGTGATAGTGTTTGTATCTAGCAGCCAATCTCTAAACCCAAGCACTGGTACATGAACAAGGGAGCAATGTCATTGTGCTCCATAGTCGCTGTCACCTGTGAATTTAGTGTCAGCAGGGATGGAGACAGGAACAGGAAATGTGGCTGTCTGAGGGGGGGGGACTTTTACAAAGTGTAATATTATGGATGGGTTTCAACTTTTTAGCAGTGTGTGAAAAGAGAAATTAATATAGAGATTGTCACCAGCACACCAGAAACGTCAACATCAAAACGCCTTTTCTGACGTTGGTCGATCATGAAATCGCTGGAAAAAAAAGCAAAGTTTCGGGCCCTTCATCATGTATTGTGATGATCACATGTGCTTTTATGATGGACCAATTTCAGTAAAGGTGTTTTGATGATGAAGATTTTGGTGTACTAGTGACCCTCTGTGTTATATTCAGCGGCTCCATCCTCTTGTCACTAGAGCACCCACCAAGAGACAACAGGGGATATACCTGTTAGGTGTGCGATGGGGTATCTGCAATGAAAAGATAAATGGACTCAGATGCAAAAGAAAAAGGATATCGTATACATTTATTTAAAGAGTAACATATAAAAAAGTGTTTCATAGAAAACAGCTTAGCTGTGATTGGATCAGCGGAGCCCCCACATATCCCTCTGCTTGGTATCGATGACTTTCAGGCAAGTACGGCACTGTTTAGTTATCCTGGCATGGGCTGAAGATTATGTGAACATTACCCCTTCACATGGGTATTAAAAATGCTGTGTACAGATGCATTTAGTTTTGTACGCAGTAGTATGGATGTCTAAGGGCCCACTGACAATGCTGCACCTGGCAACGTAATCTTGTGCTGCGTTCATCAACGTACAGAAAACATAGGACACAGCTGCATCTGGGGCCATACATTTCAGCATTATTTATGCTGGTCACATATTAACATTTGTTCTAAACTTTACATGCAGACCACATACTGCATATACGCAACCTGTTGGCTGCGGCCGCTGACATGTGGGCATGTCAATGCTAACACTGTTTTACACATGGTTGATACTTATATGTTGGCCCTGAATGAGGCATTTGCACAGTGGTAGTGCATGTTCAGAATAACAGGCCTTCATCATTCAGAATTGGCCTAGGTCATTCTGTGCATGCATCGCTGCATGAATGACTCATTCAGGGCCAACATGTAAGCATCAGTAGTGTGTAATTAGTAGTGCAGGCCCACTGGCCACACATTGCTGATATTGCATGTCGGCTGGTGGCACCCAGTAGGCTCCATTAACGCTGTTCATTGTTATGGCTGGTTGAATACTGCACTACAATATTTGCCTTATTAAACCTGTTGTGGGGTTTTTTTTAATGATTTTTAAGAGGTTTTTTTTGTTTTTATTCAATTAAAAAAACTTCAGACCCCATAATCAGAGATATCTGTAGTAAAGACCATTCCTGTTGCCCATAGCAACGGATCAGAGGCTGTTGAATGTACACTGAGTGGCCAGATTATTATGACGTTTGTAGGCAAATTAGCTATAATTTCGCGCTGAAGTTGCTAGAGGGCCAGACCTTGTTGTTTACCACGACAGTAGAAGAGATTATTTTCTGAAGATATGGGTAAACAACGCGATTTTAACAGCCTTTGAACGTGGGATTATTGTTGGCGCCCGGAGCTATGGAGCGAGTATCAGCAAAACAGCAGAATTCGTTAAATGTTCAAGAGCAGCTGCTGTTAAAAGTGTTTAACCACTTGCCGTCCGCCCGTTGTAAAAAAAACGGACAGGTAAAATAAGATTAGTTGATATGAGTAACAACCACGATTTCTCATTCGTATACTTTGAGTCCTGGGGCATTTTGCTTTTTATCACCCTGGTTCAGCCTAAAAAAAAAAAAAATCTATCTTGATTATGGGCTGGTGATTAAATTAAAATTATAACTAGAGTAACCTAAATGACATTTATAATTGTAAATATCTTATTATGTTAATTAAAAGTGCATTAAATTGTGTGTGAATTGGATCTCTTTGAGGTTTTCCATCCTTTTATATCACCTTGATCTAATGTAAGCGCATATGTTTCATCATGCAACTCTATAAATGGCTCATTAATAAAGCAGCAGTGCGGCCTTACTGCGATAAAAAGACATTTCTATAAACCACAGCGCTGTGCATTATAAAGGGATTTAGGAGTCACGAAAAGGCAAGCAAAGTCTCACTCAAATTAACAAATGGGGGGGTGTAAAAGAAGCTGGGAGGAAGAGAGCCCAGTCATGTGACCTAGCAGTCATGTGACTGGCCTCTCCAATGGATGGGAGACAGATTTCTAATACAATGGGCACATGAGCATCAGAACTGGACCATGAAGTAATGAAAGAAGGTCTGGTCTGATGAATCATGTTTTACATCATGTGAATGGTCGTGTGTGTCGCTTACCTGGGGAAGAGATGGCACCAGGATGCACTATGGGAAGATGGCAATGTGGCAGAGGCAGTGTGATGCTTTGGGCAATGTTCTGCTGCAAAACCTTGGGTCCTGCTATTCATGTAGATGTTACTTTGACACGTACTACCTACCTAAATATTGTTGATGGTCAAGTACACCCCTTCATGGAAATGGTATTCCCCGATGGTAGTGGCCTCTTTTAACAGGATAATATGCCCTGCCGCACTGCAAAATTGGTTCAAGAATGTTTGAGGTGGTGACTTGGCCTCCAAATGCTCCAGACCTCAATCCAATCAAGCAACTATGGGATGTGCTGGAAAAACAAGTCCAATCCATGGAGGCCCCACCTTGCATCTTACAGGACTTAAAGGATCTGCTACTGACCGCTTGGTGCCAGATATCACAGCATACCTTCAGAGATCTAATGGAGTCCATGCCTTAATGTGTCAGGGCTGTTTTGGCAGCAAAAGGGGATCTACTCTATAACGGGCAGATGGACATAATGTTATGGCTGATCGGTGTATATGTATATATATATTTAATATACACTTTTTCCTGAAGCATTTTAGCCCTAGTTCACACCAGAGCCATTTTCTAGAAGTGCTTCAATTCTCGGCATGAGGATTCCCCTTGTATCCTATGGTGCCATTTCACACTTGAGCGTTGTACTTCTGCTTATCACAGAAAAGAAGTCCAGGAGCTTTATGAGGGGCTTGAATGCATTTTTTCTCCCATGGACATGAATAGGAGCACTTGAAAACACGCAATTCAATTATGTTAATGCGTTTTTTGCACGTTTCTAAACTTAAAGGAGAACTATGAGGTGAGTGCTTTTCACTCACCTCATAGTTCTAGCCGACCTGTGACAATGAGACTGTCCCAGGTCGGCTCAGTAGATCGGTAAGTGAGCGAACACATACCGGCATTCGCTCACCTCTCGATCCTGTCACAGCTCTGCCGTGACAGAGGAGGGGCTGGATTCCCCCCGCCTCCGATCCGCCAGCGCTGACTGGCGGATCGGAGGGGGCGGGTACAGCT